GAGAGAGAGAGAGAGAGTGCGAGTGTGTGTACGTGTATATGTGTGTGTATGTGTGTGTGTGTGTGTGTGTGTATGTGTGTGTGTGTGTGTGTGTGTGAGAGAGAGAGAGAGACCTGCACCATGCAGCATGTCAGTGGCAGGGAGCACAAGGGCAGGCGCTGACCTCCAACAAAAAGAAGAAGTAATTTTATCGGAATACAAGAGTTTTTTCTTTTCGAAATCCGAGTAGAAAGGGTACAGGTTGTATTCGAATACAACGTGTGCGTTTTCTCTTCGAGGAACTCTGCTATTCGAGAAAAGTGGACCCGCACCGTTTCAATTTCGATTCGAAAAAGGATTGCGGCCTCCTCGGCCTCCTATGCGCAGCTACCGGTCCTACGCGGTCCTGGACCAAAACCCGTGCGGTCCCACGGGCAGCTACCGGTCCTGCAGTTTCAAATAAGATGCCACCACCCCCTAAACTGCCATGCCTTGTTTTTCCAGCCTTCCAACGACCGTATAACGAACGACGACGAAAAATGTTCTCAGGGGCATAAAACGCACCCCTGACGGGCTGCGAACTAGTGGTAGGATCAAATACATTTCGTCTCATAACATATCATTTCGTCCCACATATATCGTATTGATGAGATATATATCTATCGCACTACGATGGCTTACTATCTATGCGAAAGAAGTGTTTCCTGTTATGTCTTGGATGGAGCAACTTTGTTGACGAGCCCGTGGGATTCAGACGCCAAGCGTCTGCTCTTCGAGCCTTTGCCAAGGTGGAGAACGTCATGTGCTAAGAAATGGAGTCCTTCTCCCGTAGTGACTATGCGAGTTTGATCAGGCACAAAGTGCAGGCCCATGGGTTGGAGTCATTGTGATAGGAACCCTTGAGCGCCCTGAGCCTGGTGAAGAACTACGTGGATTCAATTCCAGGGCCTACCTGGTGAGGGGCACAAATGGCATTCAGGAGGTCGTGGGTTCAATTCCAGGAACTGGCTCTGCTAAGGCGTACAACTCGCATGAGGAGGTAGTGGGTTCAATTCACACAGGCCTCACGCACGTGCCTGGGTATGCTTGGTGTCCCACCATCTAGACACACCGCACTGGCCCTCCAGGCCAGCAGTAGCAGGACCTTGGCCAATACTGTTCGGTGCTATGCACCAGCAATATTGGCAATTAGGGAGGGACCCCACAGCGGCACGGTAATATTTTGGAATTCCAAAATGTGGTCCGCGGAATCCCACAGACATGTGCGGCGGTTTCTGAAAACCGAGGGGAAGTGTTTTCACTCCCCCGCGGCCCGTTCGTACCCCCGACCAACCAGGAATTTCGTCGGCTACGGAAGGTAGGGGGGGGGGCCACCCCTTCCTTAGCCAACGGAGAGCTGCGTGCAAGGAGGTGGCCGTACCTGTGAAATGTCCGGTGGAGTGGTCATGGGCAGAGGGCGGACATGCATCCACTGTCGCACAGGAAATGGAGCGATCTCATGCTTCCCCGTCGTGTCTCACGACGGTCCCGCGCGCATTTTTGAATTTTCGGCGCGCGGTGGACATTTTGAAATTTGAAAAGGGTGGGAGATGAAAAAAAAAAAGACGAAAATTCTACGAACGGAATGCAGGGGGCAGCCATGCATGGCCCAAACGAATACGCACTCTGTCCATGAGCCCCTCATCTGCATGAGGCATGTACGTCGACGGAACGTCGCCCGTTATCATCGATGCCGACGCCATAGCCAGGATAGCAATGCAGTGCACGCCATCCATCGCCCACAGTCTGGCCCGAGGTGTGCATCGACTCCAACCGACTAGGGTTGGAGGCAGGGCATTGACGGTGATCGGCTCCGGTCTTGCTACATGGCATTGGATTGCGGCATCTGGCCAATCCGTTTGTGGATCGTCGTCGTGGAAGGCACACCTTGCAAACCGTGCACAAGGGGAGGCGGGAAAGATTGTTCGCATGTGTCGTATGAACCCTGTGCTGAGGAGATCGGCTTGGACGGGCGCTCGCTTGTTGTCAGGCATCTGCCGGTCACATCATCTACTCTCCTATCCTCCAGTTCCTTACCGAGTCGTTTTGTGCCCACGCCATATATCACCTATACATCCTGGGGGGCTTGTGGGACAGTGGGGGACAGTGCGACATCCACAACGTCTCGCGAGAAGGGTGGGGACACATGACAGTTTCGGCCATTGCGGGGAGGGTCCTTCATCATCGTACTGCAGGGGCAAGGACGCGGGACAGGGTCGGTGCACGGACTGCAATTTCCTTTGGGCATTGACGATCACCCTTCTGCTGCTTTTAGTTGTTGTGGTCATCACCATTTCTCTTCATTGTTGTGTTGTTGCTGGTAACGGTGGTGTTATGGGTTGCCCTCCGCCCAAGGTCTGCGGCAAGGTAAGAACACCGGAACATCCACCCAAAGATTAGACCTTTCTGGAGGTGTGGGGCGAGTACGTGACATGGACAAGCGACATTGGTCGCAGGAGGCAGCCTTTCAAGAGCAGTATGGCGAGACAAAGCATCGAAATCAGTCGGAGGGTGTACGGGGTTTGCAACCTGCCTCTCCATCAGCACACATGTTCATGTTAAGCCAGCATGCAGACAGGTACGAAGTTCCTCCGTCGTTTCCTTCCCAAGTCGTGTCGCTGCCGCAGTGGCGAAACAATCCACCGAGCATGTGTGAAATGCGGTGTGCGAGCCAGTCGCCTTTCCAGCAGTCGGTGATGGCCACTGCTTATGAGGGATAGCAGATGATGGGGTCCCCTCAACCCCGCGCACCGTCCTCTCATTTCAGTGGTTTTGCAGCTCGATCGGTGCCTCCCGGGGGATTCACAATAGCGTTGCCGGAGGAAGACGACGACGTGGAGTGCGGCGTCGACGGGAGCGGGGCGGGGTTTCGGGTGACTGCTGAACGACGAGCACATCATGAGCGGGAGTATGACAACGGGGTGGGGTGGGGGTGGGGGTGTCTGGTGACACAAGTCATGAATTTCGCCGCTATGAGCACTGTGGCGGAGGACACGTGGAAGTTGTTGATATCGTTCTCCTCCTCGAGCAGCGGCCGAGAGCATTGGCCATGCAACGCCCACGCACGGGCAACGGCCAAATGTTGGCGATGTACCTGCCACAACGGTGCTCCAACAACCATCTCCATTTGCCCCCGCAACGGGAGTCGGGGCGGGCACAGGGACGACTGGGCACAGACGTGGGTGTCCGCCTGCCGCAACGTCCACGTCAGCACAGGCCGGAGGCTGTGCGGACGGAAGCACTGTCATGCAGAGAACGAATGCAGGAGGTTGGTTGCAGGATCGGTGCGCAAGATCCTCCAGGGCAGATGGAGGCCCGCTGCAAATTTTCAGGTTTTTTCACTCGTTCTTCTGAGCGCGAAAACTCACTGAGTTTTGAGTACTTTTTCAGTTGGCCCACATATGGTTGAGTGACAAAAATTGAAAATGTGCCGAATCGGTTCGACAATTATTTTGCAGTCTAAATGATCTTTTGAAAATGTTCTAATTTTTTTCCTAGAAATAGCATATGACCTTATCTATGGATTTTCAAATTTTCAGATTTTTCTGCAGGTTCCTCTGAGCACAGAAAATCACCAAAGTTGCCTCTTGCAAAATGTCTGTTTCATTGCGCATGACCTTCCTGTTTTGAGAAGACGGGCCTCAACGCTTGGGCCTGAGGGTCCTTTTGCAGTTCACATGTCCTCACTTCTTTTTGGGGTCCACTTCCACCCGAGGATTGGTCCAACCCCCGTCCACTTCCTTTTGGGGTCCGCTTCCACCCGAGGACCGGTCCTTCCTTTTTCCAAAAGTCCCGGTTCTACCAGAGCTAGTTGTACGTAGTCCGCAATTTTGCCAAGGACCGGTCCCCCAATTTTTTTTGCCCCCTAAGAACCCACTTTGCGTCCTGGTCGCCCGCCGCCAAAAATGCGACACCTTGACATAGACGCCGAAGCCTACTATACCGCAGCCTTAGGGCTGCAAACACACACACACACACACACACA